TCTAGAGATTTGTGAGCAGAAATGTCTCCAAAAAATTAGTAATCGATACCGCTGCAATGGAACCACACAGGAAATCTGACGCTCACTGGATCAACGTTTATCAGAGCTATGCTCGCTGGACCTAAGAATAAGATGCGTGCACTCACTGGACCTAACTCCCGGAGACCTACGCTTGCTGGGCTTACGTTCAGGAGACATACGCTCGCCTGACAGAGGTTAAGGGATGGTGGTGGAGTGGGGATTGGCCTTTGCGTTCTCGACCTTGGCTGCGTCTATGTACGATCGCTATTTGACTTCTGACTTGAAAGGTTTGCGGCCGATGGCAGCGGCTGTTTAATGTTAGTGAAGTCAAAGGGTAGCGGGATCATGTCAAGCATTGCAATACATTCTGCCTTTTTCCATTAAGCTCTACTCCAGAATGGAAACTTTACAATAGAAGGGTGGAGTCCTAGAGCACAAACAGCGATCCCGCTTTGTGTGAGCTCTGATCTCGATATCATCGAATCAACAAGGTTTTAAAGACAATTATGACAACAAGAACACATGCCACTGAAGCACGTTTGTGAACCGAAATGTGGACCGCAGCTATAAAGGGTAATCGGGCCTCTGGCTCAAACGTGGCTCCGGGTCCGTCTTAGGGTCTGGGCCCAGGGGTTCCGAGGGCCCCTGTTCGGTGCCAGAGCTCGTGACTGGTCAGACCCTTCCGTGGTCTCATTGTGGACCATTTCATTGCCATTTCTTGCATTTTATCGCATGTGGGGCAAGACGGCATCGACCAGCGCAAGTGACCCACTGACGCTCAGAGTCTCTTCTTGCTCCTTTTCAGCGAAATGCGTCTTCGGTCGAGTGGTAGCCTCTGGTCGACACAGGCTCCTCAGACTCTGTGCCTTGATGCAGGAACCTTGTGACCTTGTTTCAGAGGCTCGACCAACGCAGGAGGCCTTCAGCAACCATTGCGGACACCGGCCTTGTCCGTGCTTCGTAAATGGTTCCCCAGGGCCCAAGCCGGCTCAGAGCGATCTGCTCGGCATTGGTGGTCTGGACCCACATAGACGCCTTCGTCGTCCCGGGAACCCACGACAGGCGTAACGAGTCACTTTGGCTAACCTTTGAGCGCCTGGTCTTCGCCCCGGGGTCGTTCCCTCCCCCCCCCCTTGCCAGCCTTTGGGCCCTCCAATAGGGCCTCTGACAACCCGTGCCGGGGGTTCCGAAGGCCACTCAGGGCCCAGCGGGAGGATATGCTTACCGTGCCGGCCCCCCCCCCCCCCCGCTCCCACTCTTAACCCACCCCCACCCCACCACCTGGCTGCGTTCCTGGATGCGTAGCTATGTGTGGCGCACGGTATATCTATCCACCGCGGGCCAATGCTGTGTTTTTACAGTGCATTTAGGTTATTCTTACGATGTGTGTATTTTTGTAATCCCGGGGACAGGACTGAGCGGGTTGGCTTGAGATGTGGTGCGCGGCGTACATGTTTGCCGCGGGCTACATGTCGTTTTGTCAATGTCCGAGTACATTTTGTTTGTTGCGCTTTGCCCGCGTGCTTGTTCCGTATGTGCGCGGCAAAACGATCAATAGGGGGCGGCCCTTTCAAAAACACCGGCTTCATCGGAGTACGGGGCACATTCAAACGGTACATGGGAGCGTTCAGGCAGTAAGACGGACACGGTGTGAGGAGCCATATCGGCCTGGCGCAGCGACGGCTGGATACTCGGCACCTCCACCTGTCTATCATGTAAGCCCGGTGGAGGAATCGCCTACGTTTCGGTGATTCTAATACGCCCGGCCTTTTTCCCCTTTTTAAGACAATCAAGAGCGCGCGTTCTGTAGGCCTTTTTGAGATAATGTGCTCGCACATCCATTCTGATCTGTTGTACGTCAACCTCCCTTTTCGTGCTTACATCGTGTCGCGGTAATTAGCATATCTAACATATAAATCTGTCGCTAATGTGAGTTGTTATATGACGGGGCGACCCCTGCCTGCTATTTTTTTTTTATACGCTTCAGTGAACAGGCTGTAGGAACATAACAGATCAATGAATAATGTGCGACCTGAATTTTGTGCGATGAGAAGGACGCGTCATGGTCAGGTCCATGTATATGTATCCATGCATCTTGCATAGCTCATACAGGTCCATGTATCCATGTCAGATCAGGTCCATGTATCTTGCATAGCTCATACACTGCGTGCCGCTTGGGGCGACTGTGAGTTTTCCACGAGTTTAATGAAAGCATTTTTGTCACCACGAGCTAAATGCGTCACAGATGCTGTACGTTATGGCTCCTCGCGGGGAGCGATGGAGAAAGTCCTACGCGTAACGCAGACAGCTGTCTAGCCGTGGGTTGAAAGGCCCTACTCCCTATAGAAGTTAGGAAGTTCCCTGTTGCTCCATCTCTCCGCGACTCACAGATGAGTGGGACGCATTTTTGCATGCCGCTGACAGCTAGTGAGAGCAGCAGTAGCAGGTACAGGGTACCGTTGATGGATTTCCGACTCGCAGAACATGAGACTCGCTTAACAGCTGCCCTCTTGCGACTCCCATAAGATGGAAATCGGATTGGGGTGATGGGCTGCTATAAAAGTTGGTTGTTTTCCCTTTGGTGGGTTGACACGACCACGACGACACACGCGGCCACAGAAGGGAGTCAGCTAAAATGACCAAGAGTAACTGACCCTGAGCAGCGGCAGTGAACTCGGTCACTTGGGGTACCGTTGTTAGAATGATTACATCGACGACAGAAGCCGAGGTTCACGCATGTGAGCCGGTGAGGGATTCCGGCATGCCGATGTGTGATTCCGGCGACAAAATATTGACAGCCGACGAGGGATTCCGGCGTACCGATAAGGGTTCCGGCGACTGAGGACAATGCGACGATGTGGGATTGCGGCGTGCCGACGAAGGATTCCGGCGTGCCGACGAAGGATTCCGGCATTATTCTGTGACGAGAGGAAGTGCTGGTTACGTGGTGATGCCTCGGTGAGCCTTGCACCAGGTGACTGCTATTCCCTGGGGATAAATTCCAAGGTATGCGTGGTGTATGGCTGTACGATTTCGCTCATAATTGAGGGGGTTTGGTCGCTGCACATAAACTGCGAACAGTGTGTAATGACCACACTATAGGCCCCCCTTTAATATGACCAATGACAAGCATTCATGAGATGGTGTGAATCCATGAAAACTACTTGCGAAATCCCAATAAAGTGACGTTTACTGCCCATGTTGGGATGAACACGTCCGTTTCGTAAAAGCCCGTGCAATGTCGGCGCGCCAACGTTTTTGTCACCCATTGCAGTCGCCCCAGCCAGTTGGTCTATTATAGGTAATTGCCTCGATGACAATTACCTGCGGATCAGTGCAGTGGGCCACCTAGTTAACAAACGTCATGAACAACGACATGAATAGTTAATCTAAGCAAATATGATGATTGTCAGTTCACGTATTACCCGCTAGGAACTTTCTTCTTTTGTAAGGTTGATTATTAGTGACTACAGACACTGGCTGTAGAAAAATGCTCATACCAATATGCATTACACAACGTCATTTTACTAGCGCGGTACTTCAAAAGCATTAAAGGAGCTTCATCTAACTTGAGTCAGTCACGGCGCTTGTAGCTTGTATGCAAGCGGGCTTTGGGAATCTCGTGATTGCCGTTTGATGCCTGTGAGAAATCCGTCGGGTGGGCATGACAATATTGCCGAAAAAATGAGGTGCCAGTACTCCTAGTTACGCGGACGGCAAAATTGATTTGAAGGAAACGACGACGACGATCCGTGTAACATTAATGGAAGCCAGTGGAAGGGGGGGGGGGGGGGGGAGGCGCCTAAGAGTGAGAAGCGAGAAAAAGCGAGAAACAGAAACGACCATAAAATGGGAAAATCTCCGCGTAACGTGTGAACGAAACTCATTGTTATTCGGCGATTCGCTCTCAGAGCACAACTCCAATGCGAGTCAATCGACCCCAGTCGATATTCGATATGAGTCGATGTGCACGCTCCCTTTCACCTAATTGGCGGAGCCCAGCCAATCTGGTGGCAAATATTCCTTCTGGATATTTCCTTCCTGTTTTTGGTGACTTAAGTGGGCTTTGTGATTAGCGACTTCGTTAAACCGGTGGTGAACACGCTCCAATTTAAAAGGGAGCCGTTCCGATTTGACGCACGGAGAAATTTCAGAACTTCGCGAGAATTGACAGCAGTCCGTAGTTCATGTATGGTGCGCATACTACGCCCGTGGTGAATTTTCAGACGGGCATGCTTAAATACCTGGACATTTCAATGCACGCATGCAGGGCAGGTGCGAGCTTTGCAGCGTGACTTAGATTTCATGACTGTATTCATATGACGTTTTTGAAAGTATTATGCTTTACGACACTCATGAAGTGCTGCAAGAATTCATAAGAAAATGCCTTTAATATTTTGGTGACACTCTTGGTTTTCATGTCATGAGGCAATCCTTACGTCCACCAAGTCAATGATATCACATACCACACGGTTATCACTCACGTGTCGCGAACTGACCTTCTCCAGTGAACTGATACGGACAGGCCCAAAAGCGAATTCCAAGACACATATTCCAAAGCGCAACTGAGACGTCACGCGTCGTATAACTCGGACGTTACGCAAAATCCAACCTTAAAGAAAGTGATTTTCGGAATCAGCGTGTTGAGAAGGCCCTGCACACAAAATTTGAAGGCAATGGAGACGCCCCGCAATATCACATTGGGATGTTACGCGGCGTATAACTCGAAGATTACGCAAAATTCACCCCAAAGGCAGTGATATATCAATCTGCTGCCAGATTGAGCCGTCATACTTGCGCCATACATACTTGCTCGTCAACACAGCCAGTCTTTTCACCGGTCAGTCGCGGGGCCACGGGACTAGTCAAAAGGTGGGAGAAGTACTGGGGGTGTGTTTACCGTGTTATGTTGCTCCTGTCGGTGTTGCTGGCGGCAAGTCCAAGATCCTAGTTAGTTGCGCGGCTGTGGTTGTGGTAGGTAGGTACTCTGGCATGTAATGGTAAGGCTATTTGGACTAAGTACCTAACCTCTAACAAGGCATCTAACCATAGCTATGGCTTGCGTGCTGAAGCATCGGACCTTAGTTCCTATTTTCCCAAGCATACAGCTCTCGTTTTTATGCACTGAAACATTAAACCTGAGTTGTTATGCACTGAATCTTGTAGCTATCACTTAATTTAGCAGTCAAATCACCAGATGACTGTGCCTGCTATACAGGGTTTTTATATAGCCTAAGTTTTAAGGTTAGTAACATTAAGGATCAAGCATTCACTGGGAATTACTTCATAACATTCAGAGCTGTTTAGTCAGTGTCAAATGGTATAAATATTGTGATTTTCATGGATGTCTATGGGCTGACCACTATATTTGTGTGGTGTTTGTCAGTGTCACACAAGTAAGTGCAATTGTCTCATATCAAGATGCTCAGATCAGGAGGGGACGTGGGGGAGAAGACATAGCACCTTCCTTGAGCCACCGATGAGGTTTTGGTGCCTCAATGTGGTTCTTACATGTCAGTTATGCTTGGGGCACTAAAACCTTGGTTTGGAACCACAAAACTTTTATAAGAGGCACTGATGAATTCATGCAAAGGAGTACCAAATGTTTGTGGTATGACACCAGAGCCTTCACTTGTAAGCTTGACTAAATACTGGCTGGCAAATCCTAGGATGCAAAATCTTGATTTCAAAAGACTTTAAATTCAGTCACCACAATTTTTGTGCTTTCCACCATGACAAAATCCAGGATCTTTACCATATTAGTAAAACATGATCAAAAACTTCATTTTGTTGCACCAAAATTCATAATATATTCAGTGGTATTCAACCCAAGAGGCACTACAAAGGCCCCACAACCTACATTTTCAAGGAAACCACAGATTACAAAAGGCACGTTCAATGCATCCAGGACCTTTGCTTTGAAAGGACCAAAAACAGACCCATAAGAACCACAAGTGTCCCCAGACCTTCTTGTCATGAACACCCATGTTTTGAGGGTGACACCATCAAACCCAGGATGAGGCTCAATGGTGCAGAGACTGTTGTACCATCCAGCACCCTTTTCACAATCAAAGCAGGCATGTTAAATAATGATGCGAGCATTTACATTTAAATTATCACTGGTAAGGCCCCTGCCAGTCAGAGGCTCCCAGCACTGAGCAAGGGGCCCCACCATCCCATTTCAAACAGGGGTGATGTGGCAATGGCTTCCAAATGAGGTTTATGTGCTAAGTATTGAACTCCTTGCACCTGTAAGAATTTTGCATTAGTGAGGGCCCCTTCTCTGATCCCATGCCAGGTGATCCATTTTGAGGGAGGATGCTCAGGGAACTGGTGCATGTTGTATCCCTTTAAGAGCCTCCTGATCAACCAGGGGCTGTGGTCCCCATAATGCTAGAAATAGATGGCCCCAGCAGCCAAAGTGCTGGTAGAAATCAAAGTCACCATTCTGTATTGCTGGAATGGCAGCTGCTGGGGATCCGTGGCTGGCACGGTGAGGCTCTTCAGCCCTTGAGCAGGATATTTCATATGCATGATTTTGGGGTGAATTCCCTGAACGGACAAGTAGTTACAGCGATAGAGCAATAGAGACCACACCATTGTTTCAAGGGTTTTGTGTCAATGTATGTGCTTACCCATTCAAAATAGCAATGTGAAAATTGTACAGGTGAAATACGCAGCTCGAACAGCCTTCCACGCATAAGGCTTTATTTTATAAGGCAATCCAAAATAGTGCTACCTAATACATGGTTGTTTTCTCTCCCTCGTTGAATACGGCCGGATGTTATTAACGTGGACCGGCGCCCCGCGGCCCCGAGACTAACACTTGGCGTCTGTGGTCTCTCCTGGACGGCAAGCACACGTGCTTAAACTTTTACGCTGGCATGTTTTGCTTATAGATTCTTAAATAGAACGAACACTCCCAGGTGGGCCTGGCGTGGCCATATCAATGCAAAGTTTGTACCATGCTTCGATCTATGGCTTTTTCAGTCCATGCAGCCTAAAAAATATTGGTATCACCCCGAGAAAATCCCGCAACGTCCCTGGCTCTGTGGAGATCGGTCTCAGTCAGCGCAGCCAATGAGGAGGAAGGTCGCAATCCCGTAGTCCTGGATCTTGCTTTAGTTTAGCAGTAGCACCGTAGATGTCTCCTAACAGTATTTTAAAAGTCAATGGGCACTTTAGATTGAACAGCACAGTTAGATCTATTGGCATTAGGGAGTTTATGTGTAAGGTTACAACAATAGCAGTTGAAGGTGTCAGTAATAGAACCATTACAAACGATGAGGGCGAGGTTGAAGTGTGCGTCAAGTGAGGTGGCAGACACGCACAGTGCAATCGAATATGAATATGTAAATGTGATGTACAAAGAATTCTTTCCGCTTCGGCTTGTTCGTCGAACTGATAATTATGCCCAGCGCTCCAACAGCCTATGATTTCAAACTGAACCAGTAAGTAATCCACTGATGTACCTAGCTGGTGATATATCTCAGTCAGTTTAGTCAGTTTTTGGAATGCGTGAAATGTTCATGATTAATATGTTCATGATAAATACCCTTCGTGACAGTAACTGTAAAAATGTACCCCCACCCCAACACTGCACGTGCCCCGTGACAAACTAGGTAAGGTACTGGCGTGACCAAATCAAGAAAGATGGAAAAGCTCAAGATGTGCAAAATGGCGTAGTTCTGATGATCATGTCGATTTGTTTTTGTAACAGAGACCGCAGCATACATCTCCCATAGACGTCTGAAATGTGAGGGAAGGTCTTTGGCCTGCAATGACCCAGATCAATTTTAGGAACATACTGCTTAGCATAATACTCGACGCTTATTCAAATTCAAAAAACAAAACGAGCTGGTAAGATGTAGGTTGCCGTGACCTAAAAGCATGCAAAGTAATCGACTTACAATGAGCACCCGTGACCTTTTGCTCTGAACAGGTATTTAAGGCCAAAGCGTACGTGTGTGTGCGTGTGCGATTGCGTGCGGAGGTCTGGGGGACGCTTAAGATGCAACCTGGAATTTGACCATAGTTAATCCAATGGTCATGACTTAGCAACATCAGATTTTGATGCTAGTAAGCTCACATGCAGGTCAAATCTTCCTTTGAATTTTGTGTTTCTAGCTCTCTTGCTTTTTGGATCTCATGGGGATCGAACTGACCCTGACCTGAGTGGAGGGTATTTAACCGGACAACCGCGCGCGTGTTCATACAGCTGTTGACCACATTGGGGCCAAATTATGCACTTGAAAGTTGCATTGGCCGCTTGTACTGTGTTGGAAAATATTTTTTTAGGCTGGACATAATTCAGAACAAGAAGGAATGTTATGATCCGCCTTTAATATGTCATGGTTGTATTAATATCCTGCCTTTTATTGTTCTGATTTCTCTGACCCTGAAACGGTGATGGTAAGTGGTCATTCGCTCCTACCTATTTATTCATGTTAATCATTATACCCCAGTCTGAGATCAGGAGCCAATTGTAGAAAATGACACAAAGTCACACTTGTATACAAACGAATGTATGGCCTGCCGTCGTCCATTCTGTAGGACACTGGAGCTCTCTCCCAGGAGGATTTAGAAATTGTTGTGGAACGCGCATGTTTCTGTGCCACTCGGAACACTGATGAGAGAACTGGCTATTAAGATTAACTGTTTATTACAGAAAGCTGCAGCAAGATGGACGTCATGAGGCCAAAACTGATTTGGGCTAATGGAGTATGCTACAGAGTAAACCACAGCCAGATTTCAAATGGAGACGAAGATCCTAACGACTTTATCAGAGGTAAGTAATGAGGGGCCTAGTGCTGACATTGTTCAGTGCGTGCAGCCCGAGCAGGCACTCACATCTATAACATTCAACCACGCATAGCACTTTGCGTGGATCGTGTGCGAATCTTCACCAGGCTGAGGTCAGTTCGGCTAAAGCATGTTTTGCTGCATTTTTGGAAATATTGCGGTCATCGAATATATTATGAAGATGCCAGACGTATCCAGTGGTGTTCACGGCTGCGAACCTGTATATGTTCGTTGTCATGAGCGATGCTGTAACCTGGCAGGCTCATTATTTTGATTTTTACAACCTTAGTCCGAGCATTTTGATGAGGCGGATTTCCGCTCAGCGGCAGAGGCGTGGGGCGAATGTGCAGCGTACGGTAACGTTGGGTACGGCTGGCCCCACAATCTGGCACCATCGAACCTTAAGCACGGCTGCCGCCAGCAGGGGCTGCAGGCCATCCCAGCCAGCGGTACATAGCGAGTGCCGACGGGAATCGAACCCAGCCACCCCTTCACTGGTGGGCTGGGAGACAGGCGCTCTAACTGGTAAAGCTGCGGGGTTGGGTGACATTGCTGAATGATTGAAATCGAGATTGCAGGATATCAGCCATTGATCATCATGGCCCTGCGGCACATGCACTGCGCTTGTGGGCCGTCTTTCGCCGTCGAAGTGTATGATATAGTAACATAGTTGGCATGTCAGAAAGCAAAGGAAGAGCGGTTAGGGTGTGAGAATGCCAGACCAACGCAGAACGTAGCAGACCCTATTTCGGGATGTAGGTTTGTTTTCACCTTATCGACCTAAATTTGTTAGCCCGTACCATTTCAAACACACATTTTAAATGTGCCAGGAAACTCCTGGATAGTGCCGATGGCTCAATGCCTGCGAAATTAAGCATTAAGTTTCGTGCGCCAAGGAGCCACACGATAAGGCCGAAAGGTTTCGTGACCCGTGCCGTACATGGACAACTCCGTGGACAGAACTGGAATGGTCAGATCACGTCTCGTGACGACGCTTTCATTTTCGGTAGCGAGGATGCATCCGATTGTAGTGCCCTTCGAGTCAGCATGGGCTTAGGTTCAATTACGCCGGCAAAATTGTAAGGCTGGCCAGTGTCCTGCCTCTGGACCCCGTCAAAAAGATTGTACTTCTCGAAGATTTCTTTTTAGCTAAATATCTAAAACGTGGCACACACTTCCTTTGCGTACTTTCTTTGCGCCGGATGTTTTCTCTTTGCGCTGTAACAATTATGCCAAGTCTGACTGAGCACTGACTGCATGGGATGTGAGTCGACGGTAGTGAAACTTCCTCGTAGCCTCACTGCATAGTGCTACTGTCGACCACAACGCGCAGCAAATATTGACAAGGACTAAAGACAACACTCACGTTATTCGAGATTTGCTGTGGTCATCAGAATGCTGTCGGGCATCACTACTCTACTCGTTTTAGCAGTCATATAATCAGCAAATGTCTAGCAAAGTTGATGTCCTTGTTATACGATGGTGCAGCCGTGAGCGCCTACTTACTATTTGTGAAATCCACTCACTCTGGTATGTTGGTACCGGACCTTCTGGCATATCACTTATGTATACTGGCATATATGCATGTCTGGCCTATCACCTAATGTTGTGGCCTTTTTGATACGAGTTGCGCTGATAACCCCTCGCCCCACGACGCGGGGAGGAAGCAGGGCAGCCCTCACACTAAGGTTTTCGCTGAATGACTTACTTTTGAACAGTTTTGAAAAATATATATTTGGGTAGATGAACTTACATCATTCTGCAGGTGTAAAAGTTCTAAATTTCATACTGTGATGGTACTTGGTTTATACATTTTCCACGAAGCTTTGTTGATAACACATGTTCAAAAGTGGCAAATAACGTCAATGTCTCGCGGAAATGAACTCCAGATAAGTTTTCGAGGATTTTTTCATACTTTTTCACTTCGAAGTGCATTATTATCGTTCCGGCCATTTTTATATGGTCAGTTCATCCAAGGTCCAACTAGATCAGGGTTTCACTTTTGCGACCAGATTTGAGCTTTTGAAAGCATTATGTGTGTACATAATCAAAAGACATATTCAACAACTTTGAAAGGCCTTTCTAACGCTGTTTTCCCCATTGATGTAAATGCTTTAGTTCCTGATATAGCCCGATTTGCCAAGGGGACAATCATGTTCCCTTCCTTGACGTGACATGGCATATCGCAGATCACATCTGCCGATGTCCGCTTGTGCCCGTCTGATAGCGTTTTGCCATAGTTATTTAACGACATTTTCTGGATTGCTATGGTTTGCTTTGTTCTGGAAATAACAGGACTGTGAATAGCAGGAATAGCAAGTTTGTCAGGTGTCACATTCAGCATTGTTCAGTCATGCCTATCTGATATAGTTTGAAAGGAGTTTTCCAAGGTAGAGTAAATGAAGAAAAAAAAACAACTGAAGACGCCGGTAGGGCGATAGAAATACATGACACGTCATATTTAGTATGCCACAGAGACGACGTTGTCATCGTTCGCAGTCTTCTTACAGCCTCGTTATGGAACCTGTAGTCGTTTGTTGTTTGATTATGATGCTATTTGGCGTAGGTCATTTTTACTGCGTCTGTATGGGATGCATATATTTTTGCCGTAATCTTATACAGATGCAACTGGTGCGTGGTTGTTGACTGCCGGCGATCCATTGTGTACGGGTCGCTTTAAAGCATAGCCAATGCACAGGTCACGAACGGTCAAGTCCTTCAGTTCAGTCATCAATGCCTGAAGCAGCCGGCAGAACAGCGCCGGGTATGGGGCGTAGGATGCGGAATTATTTATGAACGAGTCTTGAAACATAAGGACTCGGTTTATTTGTATGACTGGTGCGTCATAGTGTCCGCAGAGGTAGGGAGAATGTTCTGTTATGTGTCGCGATTTGCGACTCAGTATCAGGTCAAGGTTTTCATCGCTCCTGATCATCTTCGTGTCAAGGTCGTATATAAGGGTGCAGCCGACCCGTCATCAAGAGTGCCCTCGCCCTCCTCCTGACATTGCCGGAACGTGAAATTACACGGGCTCTTACGTCACAAGAGCTAATGGCGTGCAGCGCGCGTGACATTTTAGGAGCGCTCAACCACCGTCACATGTTTCAGTGGCGCCACATGCCCGGACCGTGTTACCACTACGGGCAGATACGCGATTGACCAGCCCCTCAGCCATAGACACCAGTCATCCGGTGGTTGTACCTTTCCCTAACGATATCACTGTTGGACAGTGAGCTGCCGTTGCCCGCAATGTTTTTGGCATTACACTATTTTATCGTTTATTTTTCATTATAAGTGTTAACGTGAGGGAAAATATGGAGCGGTAGAGTGAACTTTTCAATACCAAGAACCCGAGTTCAGAATTAAACCATAACTTTGGCAAAGTGCACTTTGCCAAATGGAGCACTTAGCCCGCGCCAACGTGTAGCTGGTCGTTCCCACGGGTTTTGTTGTTGTTTATAATATTTTTAGGATGTACAATGTAGCGATTTCTTGCTTGCTTGCAAACTGTTGATCTCGAATTCCTTGCACCTTGTCAGCTTAGACCCCTTGAGGGAAACCAAATGATCAAATGGCTTGAACTAACACGGATTGCAGCAGTTCCAGCTTGCTTCCTCCACGGCAGGCTGGCGCCCGCAGACAACAGCCCCCTCATCAGTTTGGTTCGGTTTGTTATGCATTAATGGGTGCTAATCGGCTTGTTTTGAAAAAGTGAAAGGTCTGGTAGATTCAGCCTTTATCTACAGTTACCCAGTTTACTGAGCTAACAGTGCAGACGGACATTCGACTAGTTTTCTTTATTTAAAAGATTGCTGCGAAACATGAAATTGTGTTGAATCAAATGGCATATTCGCATTTTCAGCGACCCGAACAACAAAGTATGTGTGCCATCGACGCCAATCATTCAGACATCGCGTAAAATGCTTGCAGATGGTATTCGCTGCGCTGCACAATTTTTGTTCAGGTTTTTGTAATTTGATTAAGAAAAAGCGCTCGTGCCAGACACTCATATTCATCCGCACTTACGATGCGGGGACACTCACGACGGAATGGGCAAGTTGTGCTGTTGGTAACGTATGTTACACCTTTTGTTACAAGTCGTTGCTCGTTCGCGCGAACTGTCATGTTGATAAATGGGCCTGTTGTGCCAGTTCTGTCTCATTTCGGTCAAGTAATGAAAATACATTTTGCATCTCCGGTAGAATGTTAGCTGCCTGAGTCCCAGCGAAGACCAAAAAGGGTGAATTTTCGAGATTTGACGTCATTCATGGCGGCGTGGATTCTTTGTCGCCCGGGTCGCTGCGCATGCACCCAAATGTTCTGCTTGATAACACGCAGAGCCCTCGCTGGATGCGCCTTATCTTTTTCATTGCTTTATGAAAGGGAAGTGAAATTGGCGGGACTGCTTCACTTATACACAAATCAGCGTGCGCAACCGCGGCCGACGGCCGGTGAAGAAAAGGTGTGTCGTACATCACGAACGGCAAAATCTGTAGTTCCTTTTATTCTGACGCAAGCGCAGTACGTGCGGACGAAAATGGTACTGCCTGTCATGCGCAGCTATTGTCTCGTACCTAGGAAAGAAATGTTAAGAGGAAGCGCGTCCTGCGGCGAATACTCCTGGCAAAGATGCTGCTTTATTTCATGGGGAAAAGAATACTCTTGGTGCGCTGCGAATCCACCAAAGGAACTAGAAAGTATTGGGTAATGACAACGACAAGCGATAAAAGAAACAGAACTCAGCCTCTGGAGTCAGTCATAATTGGGTGATGAGAATCCATAGCAATAGTGTTCGTGTTTTGTAGGACTTAATTCGTCTCCGTGAGCCTTGCGCAGTCCTCAAAACAGACAAAAGGTGCTGAAACCATGAAGCTTGACACGCACTCGGATAGGGTCACATTGACCCCCCCCCCCCGAAGGTTTTTCCGGAATGGTTTCCGAACGGCGCAGCTTGGCCGCACCAAATTTGGCATAGATGTAGGCAATTGAATAGCGGATTGTTTGGCATTAAAAATTTAGGTGTACCTTGTAAGGTCGCTGACCTATGGCAGATCAAAATCAGGCCATGGTTTCAGCGAAAGCTGTAGCATCTATCTGCTGTTTTCGTCCCGCGTTATCCCAGATTCTAACCCTCGCTCGCCTGTGCCCGCGTATCACCACGCGCAGCCCGCCGACGGCACGCGACCCGATGCCGCAACGCGCCCGTCGCTGCGGATATTTACATAATGCTGCAAGTGGCACCAGACGACCTCGGTAGTCTAGACTAACCCTTACAAACGCCACACCGTTCGATGGTTATCGGTGGGCACAGTCGCGGACGACGCCCCACGCGACCTTCACCCGTGCGCCACGCGCTGCCGAGCCGTCCTACAAACTGTGAGCACGCGCTGCAGGGTTGTCCCGTAAACTGTGATCACGCGCTGATCAGGCAACGCGTCTACTCGGCCTCGTGAATATCCAGACCATGTGCGTCACACCAGGGCGGGGTACGCCCAGGCTGTGGTATACAAAGGGCCCTGCGTGGTCCAGTGTTTAGGTAAGCCCGAGCCCCGGACCCGAGCGCACGCTCAGAGCCCAGGCGTCTCCCGCACCGCAACCGATGTGTCGCTATCACAATACAGCACTGCCAGAAAGCCTTTCGTGAAGTTTTGAGAAGAGTTTAACTTTTTAGGCGTGCTACAAGGCAACTTCTAGGGAATCGTTCAATGTGATCCAACAGCGGATGGTTAGACGAGGCCATACACGTCTGATATACTTTCTGACGCAACACAACAATTGAATGAACAAATTACATTGACCTTAGGTCAGGTATTAAGGTCAGACCAAGGTAAAAATCAACCTGTTTTATTACGCTAGGGCTTGTTGTATGGGGTAGTTCCTGGTGCTCATTTCGAATATAATAACAAAAGGAACTGCATTATACACCTTCCTTAGACTTCTTAAAGGTCAGAATAGGTCACTGACCGAGAATTACTCAGGCCAACGTTTTGTTTTTAGGAGCATACTGCCTAGCGTAATCTTTGTTGCTTATCCAAATGCAAAACTCAAAGCGGTCTTGTATGGTTTTGGTCGCCATGACCTTCAAAAGGTCAGACGAGCTCACTGACCTCGGATGAGCATGTGAGGTTTTGCTTGGAACAGTTAGCTAGGTCCCAAGAGTCCTTTGGAGACCAACCTGGAATTTGACCTTGTTTGACCCTCTTTGATCCGAAGGTCATGACCAAGGAACCTCATACCTCAACCTAAGTGAGTTCACGTTTAGGTCAACACACCCTGTAAATTTGGTGTCTCTAGCTCTCTTAGCTTCTGGGATCTCAGGGGGGTGGGGTCAAATTGACCCTCCACCCAAGCGAAGGGTATCCAACCGGCCACCCGAGCGCGGGTTAAACCATAGAAATCTTGCAACCCATTATGAGCAAAGGACGAGGTGACAGTAACTTTTGCCACAAGGGTCGCTTTGTGAAGAATGTGGAATTTTGGTTATTTGTTTGTACACATTTTTGGCAGCCTCCTCCTACCTACGAGAATCCTCTGCTCTCGATCACGAATTCTTACCCAAATGGCGTATTCTTAAAGCAAACATTTATGGGTGCATTTTTTGCCGGTATGTCTTAGTTTGTTCAATATGCATTATCACTTTGTTATAACGCCGTCGTGGGTTTTCTTATTGCTGGCTTGTAATGCATAATCCTAGTGCCTTATGTCAGGAGGCATCAGTAATATACGTCAGCGCTCCTTTCATGATGTTCCCTATCCTGTGCTGCACGCAGGTGATGATGCTGATTGTGAGGAAGAAGAAATGATATCTCCAGCAGAAATAGAAGAATGGAACGGGAAATTCAGGGTTCTGCTGGACATTCCAAGGTGAAACCGCGTGCCACACCGTACAATGCAACTATCCGTGGTCTGGACGTCCAAAGATGGGCACCACTGCGCAGCAGAGAACGCGCTTAACTCGTGATACCGCGGCACGGAGATGGGGTTCCAGTTCATACGCTTGTGCGGTTCGACCGATGCGCAATAGACGCAATAGACCGCGGACGGGTTGTCGGAGGGTCAAACCGGATGAGTTAGCCGTGTCGCACGTAGAACGTGAGGCACGGCGGTATAGCTGAGTAATCCTATGACCCTGCACGCTAATCACCATGTTCACTCAGCGCTTGACCGAACTATTCGGGTTTTTTATTCGGCCATGAAAATCATGCTTCAGTTTGACACATGCTGCTTATTTTTGAAGAGGCGTCAAACTCAGCAGGTGGAAACACGTTCGCGCCGGAAGGGGAATGAGAACCGCAGAACCTGCTACGTCACTGCGGGGTTCACGTGACCCGTGGATCATGGGGGGGGGGGGGGGGGTGAATTACACCGTATTCAGGCTTGCGCCTGTTGGGCGATTGAATGTCGTGTTGACCCCTTTTGATAATGAACCTTTCGCGCACCGCGGGTAGAATAAGCAGTAATACAGGACAGACAACGAGAGGTGGAAATTTGCAACACACCGTAATGAGGTTGTTAACCACAGGTTTGAACAAAAACGTCACGTCTTGTGGCTTGAGCCGACCTCATGAACTCCCTCACCGACTTGTGAAGGGTTATATGCAGAATAAGGTAAAGTCATTACCGTGACGTCACTGAACGCTATCCGACTGACAGACCACTCGTCTAGTGCAAAGACGAAATGGAACGTTTCAAACAAGAGCTTGGAACTCTGAAAACATAGTGTACTGTGCGCACGCCCGTAAAATGGTTGGGACCATGATGACTTAAAATATGCACAGAAGTGGAGCATGCGTGCATTCTTTCTCTCCGTCTTACTCGTTCTCTCCTCTTTACGTGAGTAATGCCGGCGTTCCGCTCAGGTTCGTGTAGTTGGTACCTCTGAATTTTCGAAAGTTCCATTTTTGAAGATATTGAGACAAGTATCAGATGTGTTGAAAGAAGCTCACTCATGCCAATGGCTTGCTTTTACGTACGAAATACTTCTAGATAACAAAATTACATTGTTTTGTAAATACATCCCTCAATGCGATTACGTTACGGGACGTTTCTATGACGTGAGAGCCGATGCTACTGCAGTGAACGGGCTGACTCACTTGTAGTACTTCAACGCACCGAAAGGTGGCATGTTAACTTGTGGGCGCGTGATATACGCGACGATCGTTATACGCGCCAGTTTTGGCCTTTTCCCGCGGCGTTCTGGTATGTCTGTCCGCTATTTATTTTTGTATTTTTGCTTTCCTTCGCATTATTGGTTCCGGCTTCATTCTTATGGTACGATATTCCCAGCATCGTATCCGTTATATGTAGTAGAGCTGTCCATTTACCTTCATTAGGTATTACAAATCCCGGTTCGCAATCGAGACTTGCAGTTATGCGTTAAGGTGGTGAAAACCAGCTTCTGTTCGTCGAGGGAATGATCTTTGAAATGTCCATCTCAGTTCCAAAACCGATACACATGTGGAGGAGTCCCTTTAAAGGGAGCAGTTACATTTGAATGGGATTTTGAACGGGAATGGCCATTTTGAAGATCATTCAGTGCTGTTCACAGCACTACCCTTCTTAAGGCCAAACCCTTCTAGTTTCTGGTCTATGCGCCCACGAAAATGTGCAGACTTTTTCGCGGAGCTCATTTTAACGTCACCCAGGAGCCATGACGCCCCATTAACGTCATTTAAATCCTGTTATTCCGTTAGCCATGCGGCGATCAAGGTCAAGAAAAATGGTCAAGGTTATGAAAAACTATTCGTTCAGTACATGACGTTCGTGAGCACCATTTCCAGATAAAAATGGACCGTCAATTGGCTCTCAATCATTGTGACAGGTACGATGATGTATTCAAACAGCGAAGTGATGAGGAGCGTATTTGCTCAACAACAGAGAAATTATGTTGTATAGAGGAGCCTTTTCGACTTAAATGGGTACCAACAGGTATAAAGTGGGCACTTTTCATCATATCTGATGTTTGGTTTATTATCTTAAGATGTGGGACGTTCCCTTTAAAAGGAGTGTTCCACATCTGAAGATACTGAAGCATCAGTTATAATCAAAGAGGCTATGTGTAGATATTCGGGTGCATTAAAGTACAAAAGACTGCTTGAGACAGCACAGCTTTACTTATTAGTAGATAAGCTCCTCAACAATTCATTGAATGACTACGTTGAGACGTGTAATAGTATCAGGGTCGCTGGCAGATGGCCGTGGCAGAATTGCCACTAGCGGATGGTATGACTCAGTTGTAGTGCCTCAACCTGCCGAGAGGCGGCTTACTAAATAGCGCGTGTTCGCGGAACCGGAATATCGTGCTGTGCGCGTGTTTTGGCCCTTTTTAGTGGCGCTGTATACTTTCAGTGATCACATATTAATCATTTGCACCGCCATCCCCCTTTACCGCGCTATTCTTAAGTCAGTCGATTTGTAGTCTCACTTACACCAAATCTCGTACCACTGCCCAAAGTCCTGTATTACCTAGCACAAAACGTGATTTGTGTTCGACACTTACACCCAACGCTTCAAAATAATAAAAGGTGAACTAATGGCCGTTGATGTCACGAATCGTGCTGACGTACGCCAGGCGCGGGTAATTCGATGATCCCATTTTATTTGGTCCTGAGCACCACATGGCAAATGAGGCGGCGGCATTTGCGTGAAGTTTCTATTGCGCGCCGATTAGGTGACCTTGAAATAGTCTGCACTGTCTTCCTAAGGTCGCGAACGTCAAGCTCAGAAACAAGGGTGCTTTAAGTCTTAAAAAGGTCATGTCTGCGAACTGTACTTAATAACCCTTGAGTGGGCTGTCTCGGTTTAAAACCCCATAAAATGTGAAGCGCTTCCTTCGAGGCGGCTGGGATGGAGGCCCTCGAATTTTCTGGTTGACGTGTGTTCTGCTCCGCGTTTCTGGCATTCATATTTGGATGCTGTTACGACAGACTGTAAAGCATGATGGTGATTGTCTAAGAATACCAAACATGAGGCTGAAAATCACTGTGTGTTAATAAAGTCTGAAAAGGTTGACTGGTAATCAACACCATTTCCATACCATTCACACGAAATGCCCTGAGTTGGATCAGCTAATCCATATCATTTACGTGTAGGTTGGATGTGTTATGACGTCATGTGATATAGCCTCATGTCGTCTCACGTGAGACGCCAATGCGGAGATACGGACAACATATCTGACGAAACACCCTGGCTGCAGTGCACTGTACGGAAGCATTATCGGCAGACGAGGAAACTCGTTGCACCAAGTTCAAGATAACACGGGATGTAGGGTGACTGTACCACGTGGGGCGAAGTCCAAGGTGTCAGAGGTTGGTAAGTTTCGAAGGCCTAGTCTTCTTGGTGGTAGGTTATGGATTCATTAGCTTTGACCGTAAATGAATGATGACGTGACCTATCGTGCCATACATTTGGTCATACCTGGCGTGCGATGCCAGTAATCGAGATGAATATTTTGTCTGTTAGAATGAAAGATTCCTTGGAATCTAGGTAGATGCTGAAGGTTTGAGGAGGCTATTAATGCCATGTGGTAGGCTCTTAGTGCCCATCTACCAAAAGGTGTCTGGTGACGTATGACTCACGTGGGACCCGGACACGAACATGCCGATGATGATGGCGTGGTCCCCGAAGCATGCGACGATGACATGGCTCACTTCGTTGTATACACGTGCGCGCGCCTTGTTCGTCTCATCCGCCACTCGCTCCGACTCTGCGTGGCAGCGGGCGCCGCTGTGTACCCGCCGCCGGGGCGGGCTCGTCCCGGCAGTGTCCCCACTCTCAGGCCTCGCCTCCCTGCAGAGGTGGTCGGAGAGCAGCGCCGCCGGGTGGTGCGCGCCTGCAACATGCTGACGATGGCGGCGGAGCGCGGCCGCCAGCGGCTCGCGCCCTCGCACTTCGTGGCTGTCCGACTGGCCACCCAGCACGTGCAGAACCGGCTGGAGACGTTCAAGGTGGGCAGCAGCACTGACCGGTGACCCGCCGTGCCGTCGGCGCCCCGCACCAGCCAGCGGCTGGTGCGGAGCCCAGCACCACGCTGCCGGCTCTGACCGCGCCCTCCTGCTCCGTGCTGTGGCTGCGCCGATCAGAGGGAGATCAAGATGTGAATGATGATGCATATCTGCTTCCGTCCGCATGACGCAAGCATTTATAAATATGGCGAACTTTCCCCTCTTCCCAACACTGATGTGCCTCATAACTCGATGCAGGCCATGTCTCTTAACTGAGATACCTTTCTGGACATGAAAACTATATTGCTCTCAATGAGTTTTAAATGTTCATGTGCACTTCTAATGTTGCATTCTGGTAGTGTCATGCCTACGATTCTATATGGCTTCCCCGATGCCGTACGACGAAATGAGGCGTTGCTGGATGTGCGCGAAGTTGAACGTTTACGCCCAGTGTGTTGGCCGCGGCCGCAGTTATCCGGCGGTCTCCGTCCGTCCCGACCACTGACGCCGCCGGCGTCGCGGCTCCGCCAGTTGGAGGCGCTGCGGGTGGGCGGCGGCTCGCGGGGGCGTCGCGCCGGCGCTGTTCCAGGACGGCTGCCGGCTCCACCTGACGCTGGCCCTGCTGACGCTGCTGAGCGGGCCGGAGCGGCGCCGCCTCTGTCAGACGCTCCAGCAGCACGCCGATCAGCTGCGGTACGCCCGGAGCGTGAGCGCGCCCCGGCGGCGGGTGCAAGTCCGGCCCGCGCCTGCCGCCGAGGCGGCCGCGACGGCGGCGACGGCGATCGCGTTTAAACCCCGCCAGACCGCTGGACCGAGCGTCTGTGCACTGGGGGAGAGTCGATGATGAAGGGGTTTGGTTACCGACGCCGGTTTGGAGAGCTCCCACGCAAAGGCCGCACGAAAGGCAGCTCCGATCAGCGCGTCATCGCGGCTGACAGCCTGGCAGAGTTGGCCCAGAGGAGCCTGGACCACAAGCAGCCGTGGGGCGAGGTGCGCCCGACGCGCGCGCTGGCGACGCGACCGCGTGCCGCGGGCTGACCGGGCTCCGACCTGTCGGCAGGAGTCTACTGGCGCCATCCGGGCTCTCGCTGCGCGTGCGGGGGCTGGACATCATGAATGACGACCCGGGGGAGACTCGCGTGGTGTTCGCGCGCGTCCAGGACGCGGACGGGGGCGACGGGATGCAGCGACTGGCCGACCGCTGCAGGGAGTTGGCCGTAAGCACAGGTGAGGCACCGCGACAGCGTCCCAGGCTCACAACGATACATGTTCTAAGAACGTTTTATCCATTGGTGATTACGACGCGTATTGGAGCTCATTGAAGGGAAAATGCGTTTCTGCTGCAAACAAATGAGGAGGCTGATGGGTGCATATATGGACCAGATGACGCTGAGAACACAAATTCTGTTGTTTTTAGAGCGGACTTGCAGTGGGTTTTTAACTCCACACACGTGGCTGGTGTTAATATTGACGCGCTATCCTATATTTTGAGCTAGATGTGATGGCTGTATTGTATAACAGCGAAAAGTGATGGGGATAACGATGATCAATATCGAGAAGATCGATAAAGAGAGATAATTTAACAACGCTCTGTTGCGTTACTGACATGCAACAACACCACAATATCTCTATGCCGGCTTATGCGTATCAATCGTGGGCGAGAAAAATAACTAGATGCAGTTTCTAATATAGCACCGATCGTTTGAAATGATTTGTGCTGATCGATTTCGCGTTTTTTCGGAGCACATGGCGTCTTTTGTAACCTTTGGGCTCATTAAAACATGCGAATCTTTACGAGATGAAGTGTGTCGGCCGTGTTTTGTGCAGAATTGTGTCAGTCATTACTACAATCCCCAGTTGTCCTTTGCCATCGTTGCTGGCTGCCCTGAGTTCTCCGGATTTTGCCCGTGCCAACACGGATCACTGGTCCTGTCCTCCCCCGTCTGTGCCCGCACCGCGAGGCCCCACCAGCGTCACAACGGACCGCAGTCCTGCACGCGACGGGGCGCGGCAGACCCGAGCTTGTGCTGACGCCCAGCGCTGGCCTGTAACCCAGCGTTGGCCTCCGGCGAGCGATGGCACTATCAGGGCGCCGGCGGCTCCCGCGCGGTCGACGCGTTTCTCGTCCGGCGCCGTGACGACCGCGGCTCGTTTGCTGACAGGCCTAGGTAAAAACGAGGATTACGACAGGGTGAAGCTGCACTGCACCCTGATACGTCAGCTTCCTGGTGCGGCATGTGGACGAGGTCGGACCCGGAGTACGCCAAGCTGCGCAAGGCCACGTCGACGCCAGAGCGATACTGGAGGTGAGGGTCACGCGCAACCGCGCACGTGCATGTGGTGCCGCAGGCCGTGTGTGCTCGGGATGTCTGAAACGCCTCACGTTGGTGTTAGTGATGGCGGGTATCGAGGTGTGATGTGTGCGGTATGCAGTGTTTTTCCTGTTGCACAGCGATGTCTGCTCGGGCTAGCACACCAGGCACTGTTGAAAAGATGCGTGGGTCGTGTGATTGTCCACACGAATGAAAAAAGCACGCCGTTTTGGGTGCGGTCGGGCAGCCAGATATCACTTGTTTCTCAAGGAGCGTTTACCGGTTACGATCCATGTAGCACCAACTGCGTTCACCACTTGGCTGGATAGCTATAGGCGACAGATAGCGTGTGGTGGTCCTCGCATTGTCACGTGAATCGCAGATTGTTACGGGTAGTCTACGGAACGAGCTAGACAATTCAGCCTGAATGCGTGACTAACGTTTCTTCGCCCTAATTGTCCCACCCCTCGCGTTGAAAAGTGCCGTACCGTGCCGTAGGTGGCCTTTGCCGCCTACGTTACTTTCCTTCTCCGCCCGGCCAGATCGATCTGGTATCGTACTCTGGCCGTCCTGGCTGCCGTGCTCGTGGGGTCGGGCGTAAGGGCCGTGGGTCGGTCCGCCCTCCATTGGGACGTGAAACGACGGCAAACGTCACGTCCGCACCCGCCCGCTCCTCCACCGCCCTTCTGCGGGGGGACATGGTCGTGACCCCACCTCCGGTGCTTTCCAGGAGCTGGGTCACTTTGACTTCGGCACGGTGCGCGTGGACAGCCTAGAGGTCGTGCAGCGCCACTCGACCGGCGAGGACGGGTTCTACCTGCCTATCGGCGCTATCAAACTCACCGCTGGCTGACCCAACGCGGCCGCCCAGCCGTGCTGACGCGCGGCACGGCTGACGCGGGCGTACTGTGTGGGACGCGCGTGCTCGCCGGTCATGCAACGTCTGGCGCAGGTGCGCCATGTTTGACGCCCCTTAATGTGATTTTGACGGGGTTGGACTTGATTTCTAACGCAGTTGTGCGAGGTTTGGTACAGGGGGACGGCGGCCGATTTTGGCGCCGATAGCGGATCTGACGTGCCGTCTGCGCGGATTGTGCAGAAGATGCGTGCGTGCGCAGAAAAGCATGCGCATAAGCCGCTTACAGCGACACACAGGAAGTGCGTTGGTTTTCAATGTTGCTTAGGCGTATTGGGATAAATGGACGGTTTCCCAGTTTCACTGTAACTAAGCGCACTGCCAATGAGGAGGTCGTCTTCATGGATCAATACATTGAATATGGCGTCCAGGTTCGGGCGTGCTGTTCAGTGTAAAAAGACCGTATCATGTGTACCTGCCGTCTTTGGCCTGCGTCAAACAGCGGTGGTGCCAGCTATCTGTCACTCACTATCTATCACTATCACACACTATCACTCTGCCCCCTCCAGCTGTCTACCTCCAGACACTGCCTCTTCCAACTGTCTGCCTCCGCACCGCCTCTGTGTGTGTGAGGGGGGGGGGGGTACCTCTGTGCCGCTTTGTTGGGGGGCGGCGTGTGCCGCTGCCGGCCGCCGCTGGATGTTTAGCGCCGCCGGCTGCTGCCGTCACGCCTTCCCACAAGAGCGAATTTATAAAGAGGAGCCCAACGGTCAGCATACGAGCCGGATGATGTTAACTCACGACTCGGCACGCTGTAATTCCGGTACAACCGACATCAACGTACACTCATGTGAACCACAGAGCTAGGATGAAGCGGGTGACCGGGGCACTGGCGGAATGGTAGGTCCGGTCAGGCACCATCAACGGCTGTCTCCCTGCACGTGGCTGTGCGCCCTTAACCAAAGTACCCCACCCCCACCTTTTTAGCTTAGGATAATATTTAAGCGCGGCAAAAACGGAACCGGATGCACTGACAATATAGCCAAGTGGCCGGGGCCCCGCGCACTGGCGAATTATATTGGCAAGGGCCCATTGGATAGCAACCCTAGGAGTCCCCCCCCCCCCCCCGCCCACCCGGCCTTAACTAATCCACGCAGACTCCACGCACTCGGTGCGCCCCACCACACTCAATCCAGGCATACGCACTGGCGCCCACGTCACCCCACCCATCCTAGGCTCGCACACGGCTGCGACCCTCCCTCTCCCCCTTCCAGTGCCTTGTCATTTTAATTGACTCGTGTGTGTGGGTCCCCTTTAAGTTAAGTTAAACTTATTATCACATTGCAAACCTTTGATAGGGACACTTTTAAACCCTTTTAAAGTACATCATAAGCTAAAAAGGGTAGGGGTGGGGTGCCTTGGTCAAGGGCGCACAGCCATGTACGGGGAGACAACCGTTCATCGTGCCTGACCAGACCTACCATCCCACCAATGCCTGGGGCACCCGCTTCATCCTACCTCTGTAGCTCACATGAGCGTGTGTTGACGTCGGGTGTACCGGAGTTGCAACGTGCCAGCAACGCAAGTTGTGCGTTAACATCATCTGGTTCGTATACTGACCAATGGGCTCCTCTCCATACATTCGCTCTCGTGGGGAGGCGTGACGGCAGCAGCCGACGGCGCATGACAACCAGCAGCGGCCCGGCAACATCGCAGCGCACGCCGCCCACCGCAGCAACCCCCCCCCCCCCCCCTCCCCACACACACACAGAACTGGCGCCCGAGCGTGGGGCTTTCATTGACAGCATTACGAAGCCGCAATCCCACAAACAGACCCACGTCGCCGAACCCAGGAGCAAGACGACGAGCGAGAGGCGCCTAAAGGTGGATAAAAACGGGGCTGCCCGCTAACAAGACTCATGTCTTCCAGATGGAAAAATGCGTCTTTCACGCCGTGGACGAATATGCCGGACGCAAAACATCACCGAGTGGACCAGACAGCTGGAGCGGATAGCGACTTCGCGAGCTGAGGAGAAGATACTATGTTGAAGGTGGTTTTAAACAGGCTTAATGGAGATGCAAGCGAATTCGTGGATCACATGCGAGAGGAGGAGAAAGTGAAGACCTGGTCATCACTCAAGCGTACCCGGAAGGAGATACCAGACGGCCGGCCGGAAACAGGGAACTAGTTCTTACTCCACACTGGTCAGCAGGAGGGCAAAACTGTGCACGAATGGGCTGAAGTAGTGAGGAGGTTATCGCTTCCTTCCCTAAGCCCAAAAGACAAACGCTTAGGATTGGGATGCGGGCCGCCCAGCGGCACAGGAAGTGACGGTCAGGAAGGACACGGCGACAGCCTGGCACAGACCGCAGGACAACGAAACCCATTGCCGGACTACATCAGGCGCATCACTTTCGTGCGAGGACTGCGCCCCACCCTGCGTCAGATGGTCTAGTGTGAGCGATGTGCAACGTTTGGTGCAGTGGTGGCAGTCGCGGCAGACGAAGAGGCGCTGGAAGCGACGTAAAGAAAAGAAAAGGTCCTAAGTACGTTATGGGTAGACCGAGAGCCGTAAATCTAATCGAGGCCCTCGTCTCCACTGTGGAAACCCGAGGCCGAAGAAGAAAGAGGACGGAGGCACCACCGATGGAAGGACGGAGCAGCCAACGCGACAAGGAAGAGGACAAGTAACATCGGGTCCGAGAAGGAACACTGAGATGCAGCGGCCATCAAGGCGCGAAGGCGACTTATCCGTACCAGGAGCAGATGCCGTTGCCCCGCGGGCGAAGAGAGGCGTGCCGGTCTGAGGGAGCGTACCATGGCGGCCACGCCGGAAGGGGCAGACGGACAAAGTCTGTGCATTGGCGCTCGCACCTGGAGCACGGCAGGGACGAAGAATGGCGACTGAGCCAGGGTAGGTGGAACGAGAAAGAAATGCAAGATTTCAGGGAGGGAAACTGTTTCTTCTGCCGCCGGCCCGGACACTGCGCCCGCCACTGCCCCGAGAAGTCCCTTCGGAGGGGAAACGGGAGGAGTCGACTGCATTAGGGGGCCAGCTGACGAGCGGTAACGAAAGGCTCTCACATGTGGCAATGATATATCAAGATCGGGCTGATCAGAACGTTCGGCGTCGCGACGGCTTGCCGGTCCTGCAGAGCGGCGAGGTCTTCTTTGTCAAGCAGGACCGACTGGGCGAACCAGACGAAGCTGGGAGATGAAGAGACCCGGAAGAGGTGCGGGCAGATTAGAATATCATCCGGACGGGGACGGGAAGCGTCGTTAGACTCAGCATAAAGAGAGTCGAGAGGCGGGGCAAGAGTGGAGCACCTTCCCGGATTCAGCCAGCCCATGGGGCCTCTACCGAGAGCTGACCACTTCGGTGGTCCCATTGGCAGACGGATGGGAGATGCACGTTAAACTTCCGCTACTTCAGACAGATCGCGGTCAGTTCTACCTTCATCGTGTCCTCCTTCCTTCCTGGATTGCGAGCCGCTCTTCAGCCGTCCTGACCGAGATCCAAGCGAAATTTTTCGCCACATCACCCGATCGGAGACTTCACGTGGAGCTGACCAGGGAGGAGATGAGGAAGTGCAGGAAGACAATGTCACTTACGATAGGCGAGGGGGCCACACCGGTCATCAAGTCAGACGGCGAAGGGTTCGCGTATCACTCCTTTCGAGGCGACGTGGACGACGTTCGGAGATCATGCACCCAGAGGATGATCCTGCTTCGAGCTTCCCTTTGAAGCGTCGGTCCAGATCGCTGGGCGTACGCGTTGCCTCCAGACAGAGACTTTCGCGCTCCGAGGCGGGAAAGGATCTGGTGCGCTATCGTCTGGCTTCCACCTGCAAGGGGCCGGAATGTTCATACTACCGTCGGCCTGTGCAGCGGTAAGCAACAACTTCGTGGTCCCAGCACGCCTGCGAGGGGGGTCAGCCGTCGTGAAGAACACGTCAATTGACGACATGCAGGTGTTCAACGCCACCGTGAGCCTGCAGGACCTGCTTTCGCGAGCTGACGCCAGCCGTCTTCCGCTGAGGTCTA